AAAATTAAGAAATTAAAAATTAAAAATTAATTTTTAAATAATCTAATAAAAAATAAATAAAAAAAGTTTGAGTCATTTCGGGTGACTCAATCCACCCGTGACCCAACTCATTTGGGTTTGGGTAATTTCAGTTCGGGTCATTTTAAATTTTGGATTAACACATAAAATTCATCATCCAACTCATAATGGATGGGTTAAGTCAAATTTTTGGATTTAATCCAATTTTGCTAGATCTATATATAAATAAAAATTTACTTTTAAAGAAATTATTTTTTAAATTTTACCAAACATCTTCAATATCCATAGATGCCTCTTATTGACTTCTTCATTGACTTGCCTGCATTTAAAAGTTGTCTCTACTCCTCAGTTACCTCAATTATAAGAAAGGGTTAGGTTTGTTATCAGGTGTCCACCTTTTGTATTTTCTTTTTCTGTCAAGCACGCAGGTATGCCATCTACTTCTTCAATTTGGATATCCTCTAATGTTCTTTGTTGAGAGTTCACATTTGCATTCGCATATTTTCTACGTAAGTATAGCATGGACTAAACATATCTTGCGCTCAAAAGAAGGGGTAATCAGCCAAATCATTCTTGCTAAAGTTTGTCTTTGTTTAATAGCTAGTGGCATGGGTTGCTGAACATCATCTGACGAAGTTTGTACGTATGGTTAATTTTATAGTTTTGGTCCTATTGCTAGAGTATCTTCTTAACTTATTTTTGAACTTCATATGGTACATGAAAAACCATAGTTGGTGAAGCTCGGTTCGAGAAGATCGGTGGTGCTTTTTTGTCTGTCCGTATGAGACACATCGTATGCAGGTGAGAGGCTTCTCTTCCCCTCGCACGGCTGATTTTCCTTTCCCATTAGGTTGATGTTTTATTGCTTATTAGGTGATTTATGGTTTTTAGTTTTTATAAATTTTACAACTTTAAATACAAAATTTGTTTAATTTTTTATTTTCAATATATTATTATGACCCTTAAATCCCTTCTCTCCTCTCAGCTCGTCTCATATCATTTGGATATATAAAAATAATCACAGAAATTAAAAACAAAAAGTAAAATAAAGGGCTTTTTGTTCCATTCCATTCTCTAAATTTTTTGTAACGGAATCAAATAATTGTCTCTCCTCCACTCAAACCAAATATGCCCTTAGTTGTTAGTGTTAAAATTTGTCTTAAATGAAATTTAAGTGCATCTCTTACCAAAGTTTGAGAACTATATTGTAATAATAAAACTGTTAAAACTAGGGACTGAATTGAATAAATATTAAGTTTGAGGTTCAAAGTGCACAATAATTGAAAGTTAAGGGACAAGCTTTGCCATTTTAGCATTAAAATTTGGAGAATTTTAAATAGTACATGAACGGCGTTAAGATGTCCCGTCAATGGAAGGTGTTGCTCGGCTCTTTCTTCAAAATTTAGGAATATTTATGACGAAAGATGACAATGCCCTTTTTAAAAGTTGATGAATTTTCAATGACATTAAATTAAAAATAAATAAATAACTTTTTTGTGCTTAAAGTGTTTATTTATTGTGGGTCCATTAATTATTACATCAGCAACTCCCGTTAGCGTTTCACGGAAGGTCCGTAGTTGGAGAATGTAAGAAAGGTTGAGGATGGATAGGAAGGCTAGCTGTAAATAAAGGTTAAGGACGAAGGTATCCCATATCATAAAGATTAGGGATGGGAAAAGGAAATTTATCCAATAGTTAATTTTATATAGTGTATACTGTACAAAGCAATTTTGATTTACTAATTTTAAATTTTAAAATTAAAATAAAGGCAAATTGTTTTTACCCCATGTGATTTGGAGTGGAAGTACTATATCCCAAAATAACAAAAGTGTGCATTTTTAATTTAGAAATATGCACTTAACCTCCTAAGTCATGAAAATATACTTTTCACCTCCATGTAATTTAGAAAATATCCATTTTACTTCTAATTGTTTTTGAGATTTAACATTTAATATTAATAAACTTAAAAGGTCAAGCACACATTTGCATGATTTCGAAAGTTAAGTATAAACCTTTGTCATTTTCAGGCTAAGTGCACCTACTCCAAAACATGTGGGGTTAAGTGCACTTTCCACTAAATTAATATAGTATTTCTATTTTGGAATTGGAAAACTCTCTCCAAACATATGTTTGGATAGAATATAAAAAAATTTATTTATCCAGAAATTATGTGTACAATTAACCAATACACTACTACAAAAAATAAAAACTCAAATGTCAATATTTAACAATTCTCTCAAGTTCCCATTGTGAAGCAATAGCCAACGATACAGAGGAAGAGTTTGGTATAAACAACCCCAAGATCTTGTCTTTTACATCAGCTCTTACATCTTCATGCATTGCCATCTCAAACTTAAAAAGTTGATGATGAATCCTCTTGTTGCTTTCCATTTAAATGTGGTAAACAGTAGCATTCCAAGTCATTTTTATCAAATTGACAGACAATGATTTCTCTCTCAACCTTTTCCCAACCATCTTAGTAACCCTTGCCATGAATCCACAATTACTACTATCCTACCAGATTCTACTAGTGTAACAACATTCGAAAAAGAGGTGCTCGCTTATCTCAAGCATCCTATTGCAAAGGACATAACTATCATCTAAACTCAATGTCCATGTCCATTGTTGAGCTTTAGTTGTGAGTCTGTCCAAAATAGCTAACCAACTTATAAAACTATGCTTGAGAATTGAATTAGAAAATCAAATGAATTTATGCCATGCTGCTTGCTTGTGCTTGCATTTGAACCCATGCCAAGTATTTCCTACTTTAAAAGAGCCAAGTGCAGAAGGTAGCCAAATGATATAATCCTTCTCACCTTCTTTGGGATACAACCTATCACAAAGCTCAATTTGAATCTACAACAATTAAGGAGAACTTCTAGGAGGCCAATTTGAAAAGCTTCCTTGAACTACTGTTGAAAGCTTAGCTTGGTATGGAATTCCTACAGCTTAAACTATTTTTTCACGATAGGCACTCTATCAAAGGCCCAAAAAGATGCCAATTGTCATGCCAAATATAGATGTTAGAACCATCCCTAGGAACAAGTAAAATGAATCTTCTTTTTGTTGCCTCATTTTAAGAATTTTCCTCCATCCCAAAAAGGCATCCGCAAGTATTTTAATGGTATAGAAGCTTCTTTCCTTCAATAAGTACTCAAGGACCAAGCAATCCAAATTGATCTAGCTTTAGAGAAAAGCATCCATATAAATCTCATCACACAAGCAACATTCAAATTTAACAAATCTTTGATCCCCAATCCTCCTTGTTTTGGGTAACAAACTAATTTCCAATAAATATATATATATATATTTACATATTTACAATTTTGTAATTCAACCTACTTCAAATTACAAAATTAAGATCATCAAATGGAGAAAGACACATAATCATCTAGTAGTTAGTTTTGGTTTGCGTTGAAACATTCCTACCCCCTTTCTCCAAATACATACTGACATTTGTTTTATTTACGGTGATATATTTAATAGGCTAATATGGAAATAGTTGCATCTACAAGCGCCATTGTCCCTGAAGTTCTCAAGGAAGATAATTATCAAAGATGGAGTATTTTAATGGAACACTATTTAGTGGCTCAAGATCTTTGGGATGTTGTTCAATCAAGCGAGACACCTGAAGGAGGAAAAGAGAGGGAGTGGATGAAAAATAATGCTTTTGCTCTACATGCCATTGGGATTTCTTGTGGAGGAAAAGCATTTGATCAAATAAAGAATATACGCTCAGCCAAAGATGCTTGGGATGCGTTGGCTGCTAAGCTGAAACCCCCACCAATTGCCCAAGATGCTACTCATGTTATTTCTGAGCTTCACCAAGGAAAGCAAACAGGTTATTTTTCTTTTTATTCCTCTTAGTATTCCATCTCACTGTTTGAGCTATTTTTTCCGCATCGGTCTTTGAATAGGCTTAGCAATCGAGGTTGACTATACATATATATATATAAGTTTA